AAAACCTAGGCTTAACGTTAGTGAGTTCCGTAGAGAAGGTGGGGGGGGGGGGGTTTGAAGAATAATGCAGAAGTGGTATTCTGGGACAATCTCGATGGTGCTTGGTCATCATGTACAGTGTTTCCTATATGGATGTTTTTTTGTTGTTGCGTAACATGACTACCTGACTATGGTGAATGGCTTTGGTTCGTATCGAAGTTCTGAAGGTTATAGTCTGGAATGGACAGTCTCACGTGAAACAACTTCGCCTGCGTCAGTATTGCTTATATGTTCATTAAAAAGACGCTTCAGCATGGCGTCAATGCTTCGACATTGATTCAATGCTGACTCGATGTTGAAGATAGCAATCTTGCGAGAACGTTGTCCGGTCAACATAACCAGGCCCGGCGCGGGAAAATGCGGGCCCCCTGCGGCAAATACATTGGGCCATCTCTGGATTCCGGAGATTTGCCCTCACTTCATCTTCGATTATCGAAGTTATATTGGAAAAAAGTAGGAAAATCACTACATTTTAATTAAGCGAGAAAAGGAGAGGTATTTATGCAGGTTATCCAAAGATTTAGCTTTCGTATTCTCGGAACCTTTGCCACCAGCTCATCGATCACTTTCTAGTAATTCAATGACCTGCAGGCCCTCTCGATAGAGGGTTCCCAGAGAGAACATCGCGAACAAAACATCGCGAGGAAAAAACATCGCGAGGCGACAACATCGCACAGTTAAAACATCGCACGGTGATAACATCGCGTGGGGCCCTCTAGGCTTGAAAGCCTACGAGCAAAGCGTGAAGCTTTACTTCAGTTGGTTCTTTGCTCTCGTTGGGAGCTGACATGTTTCATCTCGTTTTTTCAGTCATGTGGATATCACGAAAGTGAATTTTAATTTAAAGTAAGGTAAATTAATTTAGTTTGGGCTACTGTTACCTGTAAACAAGGTGTAAGCTTAGGCCTAGTCGGGCCGGAGCTTACCCGGGGTAGCAGTAGCGTGGTTATTGTTTGTTGAGAACTTAACCCAATACAGCGCCACAGCACCCTATTAAGTAAATGCGTTTTTTTTTAGATATCACTCACTGTCTGTCAGTCAATAGGGGAAGGAAATCCTCACTGACCACGGACCGGCCAAGTCGGCCTAAACTTACACCTTGTTTACAGGTAACAGTTACCAAAACTAAATTAAATTATTTACCTTAAATTAAAACTCACTTTCGTGAAATGCACGTGACTGAAAAAATGAGAAGAAAGACGTTTGCTCCCAACGAGAGCAAAGAACCAACTGAAGTAAAGCTTCTTGTTTTGCTCACAAGCTTTCAAGCCTAGAGGGCCCCATGCGATGTTATCGCCTTGCGATGTTTTTACTGTGCGATGTTTCTTCCGCGATGTTTTTTCCTCGCGATGTTTTGTTCGCGATGTTCTTTCCGCACACCGTGCAGGGCGTATTTGACTTCTTGATATAACTGCAGGCATATAAGTTTTCGTTAAATGAATGTATTATCACCTTTCTCCACCTGGCTATCCCATAAAAGGGATGATAGTGCTTCCAGCCAAACGTATTGGCTACATGATGACCTTTCAGCACAACCATGGGAACAAGTCTGCACTTAGACTGAATGCAATTCAAATGATTAACAAGATCATATGCAAGACGTTAATCAGTTTATTGGATGAAGACTGAAAAATAAATTTGATTGATTCCCCTTTTTTTGGAAATATCTAATTCAAGTCCTTTATGAATTCTCGTCGTTCAGGGAATGCATAATTTCAACTTTTTCTGATCGGTCTAAATTTTGGACATCAAGTAATCAATAGAACTTTCCCAAGGATATAAGTTCTTCAAAATTTTTGAATGGAAAATTTCTGCCTGTTGGGTATATTACAGAGAATGTTCTTGTCGGTGTGATAACATTTTTCCGTCCCCCACGCCGTCATAACACAGGACTCCAGAAAAATTACATTTTCCCTGGGGTAGGTAACAGTTATTCATTCTCCCCCTCCCGCGAGAACCCTCCCGCATGGAAACATCTAACACGTAACAAAGCACGTGCAAAGTGCACGTGCTTTGCATGCCTTGTCCTTGGAATTTTACTGCGTGGTGGCTCATTACTAAGAGCTTGTCCATCAACGGGTATATCACCTTAATTATGCTAACCACGAGATCTTTATATCCTATGTGGGCGACGGAATATTCCCCGTTGTGAGGTGTGCCCGTGTATAAGCTTTATTCCTGAAAATTGAAGCCCTCGCGATTTAAAGAAAAAGTTCTACTGTGGGTCATTCCATGTCAAATCAGCCAGAGACCGGAGCATGACCCCCTCCGATATTGACGAAAATTTATTATGGGAAGTACCCCTCATGGTCCAAAGGAGGGATGCAACATTTTTTTGGTTTCGGGTATGGAACCGTTTGGCACAATAATTCCTTCAATTTGGTAAAATTTCAAGAAAGGGGCACCTCTTCATGCTAATGTGGGCCTCAACGAACGCAGCAAACACCATTGTTCTTTAAAAAGGTTAGACTTTTGAAGTTATTTCCAATACTTTTTTCCTCGACTCAATACTGAATGAAATAAAGCCATGCCAAAATTCGCCAAATTTTGGCATATTCAGAAATTTGCAATACGTAACTATGCTCATAAAACTCTATCATAATGTATGTGGAGTTAGCGACACTGGAAAAAAAGTAGTGGACCGACTTCATCGAGAATGCACTTTCATCATCGTGGATTACTTTCCAGGTGCGTTACGACGGAGCGCGACACGAACCCGGCTCTCCGATCGTTTCCTGCTTCTTTTCTAAAAAAAAATCACCGCCTACCGTAATTAAATGGTATAGGAATATCGATAAGTGAAGGTAGGATGATCACCCGCCTTTTCTGTGCCATCAAATTCATTATTCCATGCAAACATATTTAGTACCATTGGCTTCAGGCTTCATCTTACAAGAGCGAAGCCTTTCTTTCTTTGTCCCCCTTCCACTCCCCCACCCCTTCTCTCCACATTGCCCACGTGTCCTCCACCCCAGCCCCTTCGCCGAGCATCGGATTTCGAGAACCTAGTTATGCAATCAGGCTGAGGCGGGTCCTCGAGACGGCGTCTCGACCGGAAAAGTCGGTGAACTTCGTAAGATTTCACCGGTCGACCCGGTACACGCAACTCAATTACTCAACCTTCAATCGGACAGGGTCTCAGCGAAACGGGAATGTTGCGCGAGGACTCGTTATGTAACGACGACCCGACGAAACTGGACCTGAAATTCATATGTAAAACCAGGTAAAAAAAAAAGTTGTCCTGCAGAATACGGGATCTACCCCATGAATAGTACAATGCCACCGCAAGAATGTAGAATATGCCTCAGATGAAAGTTAAGGGCCTCCGCCCCCCTCTCCCCTCCCGCAGTCCTCCCCTCGCCCCGGCGCCAAAATGTTCCCCTCCCTGTCGACCTGCGTGAAGCCCAGCAACTACCCCATCTTCAACGGCACCCGATACCAACAGCTGAAGCAGATCCACGCCTTCCTGGATGGAAGCGACATCCCGTTCGAACGTGAGAACCTCCCCTACTCGTTCGTCTTCGAGTGGGAGCTCGCCGGCCGCCGAATGGAGATCGTCCAGCTATGGTTCGTGGACTACTGGACCGTCTCCTTCGTCTTCGTCGCCCTCTACCTGATCCTCGTGTTCTGGGGTCGACGATGGATGGCGTCTCGTCCGGCCTACGACCTGCAGAAACCTCTCATCGCCTGGAACGTCTTCCTCTCCGTCTTCAGCATCTTCTCGGTCTATAGGGCCATCCCCGAGATCTACCGGACCATCAGGGACGATTCCCTCTACTACTCCATGTGCTTGGGATTGTGAGTTCTGGTTCCTTTCTGTCTCCGAGAGAAGCTCGAGTCGGTCGCGAAGCCCGAAGTCGAGGAGACCTCGACTCCGGTGCCTTCCTGTCGCCCGCAAACGCGCCGAGCTCTCCGAAACGAATTCAAGAATCCTTCCGAGTCGAAAACGGCTCGCAAGGGATGGAAACGATTTTCCTTCTTCTCGAGCCTTTGGTCTGTCTCTGCGTGCAATCGGGGAACGAATCCTTTAAAATTGCAACAGCAGCCGATCGAGAAGCAGGAATTTCGGGAGGAGGCAGAACCCCACGAACCGGGCCGGATATCGAAACCCCCATGTATCGTGCTGGATTACATGAATTCAGCGTAAGGAGGCTTTAAAGTTCCATTAGCACCGCTAAAGGAGGTTTAAACCTCCTTCGGCACCGTTTAAAGAGGTTTAACACGTCGACCGCCCATTCCAATATGCTCCATCCCAACCCTGAGAATCTCCTGGCTGGAGCTTGCCAGAGGCCCACGCCGAATATCGTATCGCAGGGTTACAGTGCTAAGGGAAGTGAATGGATCGCTCATCCAGTCAACTGGACGTGGGCAGTCGACACGTTCAAGATTTATAACGCTGAAATCAGTTTTATGCAATCCACCCTCGGGCTTCCAGCTCTTCAGGACAGGAATTTCTACGCGCCACAGCAGCTACGCCGCTCATCCCAAGCGAATCCCAATCGCGTTTCGTGGAACCCTCGAGGCGCTCCGAAAATATGGAAGCACGGGGCAACTCCATCTTATTTGTAACATCTCATTTGTTAGGGGTTGTCGACCCTCATCGACGCCACGAAATGGACCGACGACGACGACAGAGGCCGGGCGAACCTCCCTTTCGCATCCATCCCCTTCCCTTCTCGATCCCGTTTTCGTTTTCGGAAAAGTTCCCAAGAGAAGGAAGACTCTCCCCGTCGTTTCTGACGCGAGCTGCTGACGGCCGACGCGGGCCGATCCAAAATTAATCGACTTTTGTACGTTGGCACGAGCGAGACGAATTCCGAAGGTGAAGATCTCGAGGCTCCGGAGATTCCCACGAACCATAATTGTATTTTTTAAAATTCATTTTTAGCCTTCTTTCGATTTCCGGCACACCGACAAGCTGGCAGATGGATTCGTCGGGCGTGTCGCGGCCCGTGACACTGCCGGAGTACGAGTACGAGAAGAATGCAAGGCGACCGTATGTCGGTGGAGGTCGTACTCCTTCCTTACGCCAGCATCAGCCACGGTACTCGTCTCTGTACTCGTCTCGGCACACGAATCACGACCTCGTAAAAGCCGATGACTCGGCCTTCCTTGCGGACGAGTACTGCGAACGTGTCCCTACCCCGGTTCTGCAACGCGCCTCGGCGACGCACGAACCAGAAAATTGCGACACAATTTCATTCCTGGAAATGCAGGAATGGAATTTTCTACTGCTATTTCCGGCAAGATATAAGAAATGAACTTAAGTTCTTTCTTCTCAAAACCGATTCGGTAGGGAAAAAAAGTAACCCTGACACTTCCGCATTTCATTAATTCACCTCAACGGGACTGAATCGATGGGAAGTCGGCATGCACAGGGGCAAAGGTCTATTTATGAGGAAAATGGACGTGGCCGGATTATTGAAAAAGGGAAGCATAATTTTTTTTTATCTGTGACCATGAAACCTTTGAAACGGTTTTTTTTTTCTTTCATTAAACACAATCGTGGCAGCCTGGAAAAAAAAACAGGATAGGCACGACACCATAATCAAAATTCATCCGAATTATTCATACAACGTTTTGCACCTCAGTAAATCAATACTGAGGTCATCTTCAACCAGGAGTTTGATTAATTTCATGAAAAATATAGGTCTACATGAACCAATAGCAACTCAATAGTTGAATAAAAGATATAGTTAAATTATTTAAAAAATCGACCCATCAACGCCTGCGTGAGGTCATTTTTTTATTTGGCACTTTTAAAAGCTCAGCATCCTTTTCACCAAGAGTTGACGGTTCAACAATCAAAATGGAACAGGGATTTATTCAAGCGCTACACGACTAAAGATAGGAAACGGTTTTACTGCTTACTCTACAAAACTATTGATACTCGGTCTTCGCGATTGCGCTTTTTTCAATATCGACTTCTTCATCGTGCGCTACCCACGCACTCCTTTCTCCTCATGTGTAGGACAGTAGACTCCTCAGTTTGTCCAGTGTGCAAAAAGAACGTGCACACTCTTCTTCATATGTTGTGGGAATGTAAACCTTCACGCGGAATTATGGAGAACAATTGACGGATTTCTGAGAGAAGGAAGTAATCTTCCTCCGTTGGATAAATCTGATGTTGTTCTCGGATCACCTGGAATCAGCAGGGCAGTTAATTTCACCATCTTGGTATGTAAACATTTTATTTTTGTTTCACATATGAATAAAACGAAACCGTCTATTGAAAACTTAAAATAAAAAATAAATATTGAATACAATATTGCACAAACGGCAGCCTTAAAACGGCACTTCAAAATAAACGAATTTAATTAGAAATGGTCATTAATTACAGTTTTCTTACGTATGCAAAGGGTGAACACCCGATCAATCTAACGCGTGAAATGCTTAACTACTTAAATTTGAGTCTTTGTATTTGTATTTTGATTCCCCTCAAAGTTCATGGTTTTCTATACTTGTGTTTTTTTCCCCCCCTCTCTCTCTCTTTCCCACCCTGGGTCCATTCATTAAGTCCATACCCATTTATGTTCACCCATTAACGCATACATATCGTTCTTGTTTCTTTGTTTCTTATTCCCTTGTTTACTCCATTTTCATTATCTCAAGGAACTGCCTTGCTCCTCCGTCCTCTCCCAATTGCTCTTTCTAAGTTTTCACTCATCGGTTATCCCTGTTTTTTCTTGTTTTTGATGTTTCTGTCCCATTTCCCCTTTTTTTGTTAACACCAGTATTATCACTTGCTTATGTAGCGGGCTTTATAGCAATAAAATTAAAAAAAAAGAGGTTTCATGTCCAACCTTCGCGTCCTTCTCGCTGGCGGTAACGGGAACCAAACGCATGAGAAGAGTTTCGGCTTCGGAAGTCGGAAGTCGTCGGAGCGAACGAAAACCGCGGAACCGGAACAGAGCAGTCGCATTTCGCGGACGACCATCGAATTATCCGGCGTCGTCGAAACAAACGCCCGATCAAACGAGGTGCGGTCGATCCGTTTAGAGACTCGGTTTTGTAATCGACTGAAAAGGGCAAGCGGGTATCGCTTGCTCGTTTTCGTCAGGCGAGAGAGAATGGAATTAGCGACACTGAAAAAAAAAAGTAATGGAGTGATTTTTATCGAGAATGCACTTTCATCATCGTGGGTTACGTTCCAGGTGCGTTACGACCGAACGCGACACGGACCTGACACTCCGATCGTTTCCTGCTTCTTTTCTAAAAAAATCACCGCCTACCGTAATTAAAAGTATAGGAATATCGATAAGTGAGGGAAGGATGATCACCCGCCTTTTCTATGCCCTCGAATCCATTATTCAATGGAAACATCTTTAGTACCATTGTCTCCAGGCTTCATATTACAATGAGCCAAGGCTTTCTTCCTATTCAAGCTCCCCCAGCCACCCTCCTCGCTCCCAACGTGTCCCCACCCCAGCCCCTTCGCCGACCATCGGAGTTCGAGAACCTCGTTATGCAATCGAGCGGAGGCGGGTCCTCCGGACGGCGTCTGGACCGGAAAATTCTGTGAATTTCGGGAGAGTTCACCGATCGACCCGGTCCACGCACCTACCGTCGACGTAACGCAATTACACAACCTTCAATCGGACCGCGTCACAGCAAAACTGGAAAATTGCGCGAGGACTCATTATGTAACGACGACCCGACGAAACTGGATCTGACATCCAGATGAAAATCCAGGTTAAAAAAAAAAAAGAAGTCGCCCTCTAGAATGCGAAAGGTGATCTACCCCATGAATAGTACGATGCCACCGCCAGCATGCGGATGAAAGTTAAGAGCCTCCGCCCCCCTCGCCCCGACGCCGAGATGTTCCCCTCCCTGTCGACCTGCGTGAAGCCCAGCACCTAACCCACCTTCAACGGCACCCGCTACGAACAGCTGAAGCAGATCCACGCCTTCCTGGATGGAAGCGACATCCCCTTCGAACGTGAGAACCTCCCCTACTCGTTCGTCTTCGAATGGGAGCTCGCCGGCCGCCGAATGGAGATCGCCCAGTTATGGTTCATGGACTACTGGACCGTCTCCTTCGTCTTCGTCGCCCTCTACCTGATCCTCGTGTTCTGGGGTCGACGATGGATGGCGTCTCGTCCGGCTTACGACCTGCAGAAACCCCTCATCGCCTGGTACTTTTTCCTCTCCGTCTTCAGCATCTTATCGGTCAATGGTCGACCGCCCATTCCAATATGCTCCATCCCAACTCTGAGAATCTCCTGGCTGGAGCTTGCCAGAGGCCCACGCCGAATATCGTATCGCAGGGTTACAGTACTAAGGGAAGTGAATGGATCGCTCATCCAGTCAACTGACGTGGGCAGTCGACACGTTCAAGATTTATAACGCTGAAGTCAGTTTTATGCAATCCACCCTCGGTCTTCCAGCTCTTCAGGACAGGGAATTTTACACGCCACAGCAGCGACGCCGTTCATCCTAATCGCGTTTCGTGGAACCCTTGAGGCGCTCCGAAAATATGGAAGCACGGGGCAACTCCATCTCATTTGTAAGGGGTTGTCGATCCTCATCGACGCCACGAAATCGACCGACGAAGACGACGTAGGTCGGGCGAACCTCCCTTCCGCATCCATGGCCTTCCCTTTTCGTTCCCGTTTTCGCTTTCGGAAAAGTTCCCAAGAGAAGGAAGACTCTCCCCGTCGTTTCTAACGCGAGCTGCTGACGGCCGACTCGGGCCGATCCAAAATTAATCGACTTTTGTACGTTGGCACGAGCGAGACGAATTCCGAAGGTGAAGATCTCGAGGCTCCGGAGATTCCCACGAACCATAGTTGTATTTTTTAAAATTCATTTTTAGCCTTTTTTCGATTTTCGGCACACCGACAAGCTGGCAGATGGAGTCGTCGGGCGTGTCGCGGCCCGTGACACTGCCGGAGTACGAGTACGAGAAGAATGCAAGGCGACCGTATGTCGGTGGAGGTCGTACTCCTTCCTTAAGCCAACATCAGCCACGGTACTCGTATTGGTACTCGTCTCTGTACTCGTCTCGGCACACGAATCACGACCTCGTAAAAGCCGATGACTCGGCCTTCCTTGCGGACGAGTACTGCGAACGTGTCCCTTCCCCTGCTTCTGCAACGCGCCTAGGCGACGCACGAACCAGAAAATTGCGACACAATTTCATTCCTGGAAATGCAGGAATGGAATTTTCTACTGCTATTTCCGGCAAGATATAAGAAATGGACTTAAGTTCTTTCTTCTCAAAACCGATTCGGCAGGGAAAAAAAGTAACCCCGACACTTCCGCATTTCATTAATTCACCTCAACGGGACTGAATCGATGGGAACTCGGCATGCACAGGGGCAAAGATCTATTTATGAGGAAAATGGACGTGGCCGGATTATTGAAAAAGGGAAGCATAATTTTTTTTTATCTGTGACCATGAAACCTTTGAAACGGTTTTTTTTTTCTTTCATTGAACACAATCATGGCAGCCTGGAAAAAAAAACAGGATAGGCACGACACCGTAATGAAAATTCATCCGAATTCTTCATACAACGTTTTGCACCTCAGTAAACCAATACTGAGGTCATCTTCAACCAGGAGTTTGATTAACTTCATGAAAAATATAGGTCTATATGAACCAATAGCAAACTAAACAGTTAAAGAAAGGATATAGTTAAATTAGGAAAAAAAATCGACCCATCAACGCCTGCGTGAGGTCATTTGCGAAAATCGAATGGTGCTTGGTGAGTTCCAGTTCCTCGAGACTCATCAAAAAGCCGTAAGAATTTTTTTCTCCTTTGATCGCAGCCACCAGCGACACAACCCAGTGGCTTCGGTTTGGGTGATCCTGTTCGTCGTCTCGAAGGTGGTGGAACTAGGAGACACGGCGTTCATCGTCCTCCGGAAGCAGCGTCTCCTCTTCCTCCACTGGTACCATCACATCACGGTGCTCCTGTACGCCTGGTACTCTTGCGCACAGGGAGTCCCCACGGGCCGCTTCTTCGCCACACTCAACGTCTTGGCTCACGCCTTCATGTATCCCTATTATACCGCACGGGCAGCGAAAATCCACGTTCCCCGCCGTCTCGCCATGTTCATCACCCTCTTCCAGATCACCCAGATGATCTTCGGGATCTACACGAACGCCTACGCCTACTTCGCGAAGAAGCTCGGCCTCCACTGCGAGACCCCGTGGGAGAACATCTACGTCTCCGCACTCATGTACTTCTCCTACTTCCTGCTCTTCTTCAACTTCTTCGTCGACGCCTATCTCAGACGCAGCTACGACAGAATGAAGGTGGCTGCGGCCAAAGGGAAGAACATCGGGGAGGAGCTCGTCGAGTATCTCAAGATCAACTAACGTAACCGGAGCGATTCCATCAGATCGAATCGTGCGCAGTCCTTCTTACTTCTGGACATTTCCTTTTGAAACTCTTTGCAGGAGAATTCAAATCCAGCTGCATTCGTTCACAAATGTGAAAAAAAGTCGTGCTTCATGAATCCGTTGTGGAACAGTAATTAATGTTAGGAACTCCGACTGTATCCCCTCATTCGCTGATTTCCCATGTGTGAGAATATTTAGAGCGGAAGAATGATGATAAAAGGTTATTCCTATAGGACTCCAAGTGCATCGGTCATTCGTAAATAGTGAATGATTCATCGGTGCATCAGTCAATGGAAATGTTGTTTTTGCATGTTGTTATGTTCAATATATACTTACTGAAGCGCTATATGTAATGCGCAAATGGATTCATACAAATATGAACTTACTTTGCAACTTGCTACTTGTTCAAATGTCTATCACTCCACGATTTTGAAAGCGAGTACAATAATTCAATTCTATTTCATGTGTGTTTTTAGCCATGAACATAGTTTTGTGAGGTCCTCGAAAAAATTGAGGCAGGCATGAACTAATTCTTAAAAAAATAAGTTTACAACAACATTCTACTTGAAAGGAAGGAAAATTACTAGGAATGGCGAACCAGCTAAAATTCAAAGTAAAGAATTTCCAGACAATTCTCTCGCGCCTGCAGTAAGGGTTTTCCGGCCCATAGATGTGAACCTTCTGCTCGAGATGGGTTCCTGGACAATCGTCACGCATCCAAAACTTGGGTTTCTAAACAAATGTTAACCGAGGACAGCAACTGACATGCCCTCTCCGCCACCATAAAAGCAAGATCCAACCCGGACCTGAAGGTGGGTTACTTTGTCATGAGAAGCGGACAGAATGGGAACGTCAACCCGTGTGGCACAGATACGTCGATTCGACGTGGATTTTAGGTGGAAATGTAGATGGCAGTGATATACCAAGTATATGCTGTCCCAGCCTCTACGCTCGTAGCGGAGTCTTCAACTTCCGCGATGCCGGTCTATGAACTATGTCCCTAACACTCTCTCCATTTCGTTGCGGTAGCCTACTCTGTGCTGAATAAGGCGAATTCCATCGGAAATTGTCCACTTTAGAGCTAAGTCCCCACAGTAGAGACGCCAAGGGTAGACCTGCATGCCTCCTTGTAGAACCAATCACTTTCGTTGTGGATTGGCCTCGACCAATAATCCATCTTGGGCATCTTTCACATGTCCTGAAGACTAAACCCAATCCTACCTACAGTTTAACATGAAGAGGCCTCTAATCCATTCATGGAGCCGTTGGTATTATTAGCTGGATTATCTGTATCCCAGTTGACAGACTTGTGCAATAACCCAACTATTTTCACAGAAAATTCAATGCCTCAGTTCGATGCATTTTTCTCGCAAAAAAATCTGTCCTCCATGTGATGCATTTCATCGCATCAAATTTTGGGTGCGGTTATCGCATCGAATGTTGGATGCGATAAAAACGCATCACATGGAGGACAACTTTTTTTTCGACCAAAATGCATTAATTTGATTCTGCATGTATAGGTCAGGGATGATGAAACGTGGGTTTATCGCTATTAACTGTCAGGGCATTGCATACGATAATCACACTGGGAAAGTATTAAACTTTAAAAGAGAAAGGGTGTCTACCTAGATTATGGAATTCGGGACTGGGAGTACAGCTCTGTTGCTGGAATCCCTCTTGCAACTGGGATTCCGATTTTCCTCCTTTTTTTCCATTGCCACGATGAGGAAGGAATTAGCCCTACGTGAAATCCAAGTTCTACGTCTGTTGGCTCACTGCCGCCGCGTAAAGACCGTCTCCGTGAAGAGTATTTCATTCAACTTTGAACAATGAAAACTATGCATGGAGGGTGTTTTAAAAGAAGTTTTGGGATCGTGCATTTATTGAAAGAAAAATCATAATAGAATGGATCTAATATGCTCGCAATAATCCATTGCGTCGGGAGCTACATGACAGATATCAAGCTTCCTGTGACGATGATGATGAAATGATGGCCCTGTAATTTATGCAAATCCTGCAATATATCCTATAAATAATGCAATATTAGAGGACACTCACTCGCCTTCAGTGGCAGCCTATATTGCTGCGATGGGCACTATAGACAATTAATGGCAGAACTTGGTAGGATAGATTCCGACGAAATCATGCATGATTTAAGGGAAAATGTGAAGCCATGGTCTTTCATTATGGAATGACTATATGGAAATAAATTTTTGATTGCGATAAAAAAAAGTATTCTCACCATGTCGCAGTACTGTTTCACATGACGACGTAGGTCGTATAGCATAATTTTTTTTTAAGATCGCGCGGGTCCCAACTTTTAGGAATACAGCTCGTGCATGAGCATTCCTCTCAACGGGGAATATTCCATCGCCCACCCAGGAGGAAATAACGAGCTCATGGTTTACATAAGTAAGGTGAAATACCTATTGATGCACCAGCTCCTAGGGATGGGCCACAGCGCAGTAAAATTTCAAGAACAAGGCATGCAGAGCACGCACACCTCTGCAATTAAATGTTTTCATGCGGGAGGGTTCTTGCGAGAAAGTCAATAATCGTTAGCTCCCCCAGGAGAAGTGTAATTTTTCTAGAGGTCTGTGTTATGACGGCGTGGGCGACGGAATAATAATTCCAGACGGAAAACCCCCGACTTTTTTTCCCACTGACAAGAAAATTCTCTGTAAAACATCCAACAGACAAGAATTGTCCATTCAAAATATTTGAACGACTCATGTCCATGGGAACGTTCTATTGATTACTTATATGTCCGAAATTTAGACCGATCAAAAATTGTTGAAATTATGCATTCCCTGAACGACGGGAATTCATCAGGGACTTGAATGGGATGGTTTAAAAAAAAACGGGGATCCATAAACTTTATTTATCATGTTTCATTCAATAAACAATTAACGTTTTGGATACACTCTCTTAATCACTTGAATTGCATTCAGTGCAAGTAAAGCCTTGTTCCCGTGGTTGGGGTCAGAGGCCATCATGGAGCCAATAAGTCTGGGTGGAAGTGCTATCATCCCTTTTATGGGGTAGTCTAGCGGAGAAGCGTATGGTCATAAATTCATTTTACGGAAATTTTAATCTTGGTTGTAGTTATCTCATATCACGAAGTGAAATACGCCCTGCACTGAGTTCCCTTTTCATAGGCTAAATGATTCACTCGTTCTTCTCTTACATTTCACTGTCATTCCCATGAAGTTACTCAGAAATTGAACTATCAAGTGAGTGTAAGTGGTTACGAACTGACGAATCGCCCTGCACTTCAGCAAGGACGCTTGAAATGCCTGGATTCCCGGCAGCAGGTGGGAGGCACAGCAGCGAGTGATGCCAGCCTTCCATTTCCAATACTTCGGTAACTCTCGTCTCCTCGTCCATCCGAAAGATGGAGAGACAAGGGCGAAAATGCAAATTCCGATTTTCCGTGAAAATTGCATCCTCTCCCTTTTGTAAAAGTTGATTTACAATTTTCATTTCGCCAAGACACATCTTTGGATGATAAGGAAGATTTCTGTTTTAAAAATTCCAGTTCATATCTCGTCAAACTCACTGAAACACATTCCTTGCAAAAGCCCTGCTAGCAGTCAGGGTCGCGCGGTTTCTGTTTAACCTCCCTAAAAATGATTTGGGCTTCTTTATCACCCTGAAGGTGACATATAGATCCAAATAACCCCCCTGTTGATACATGCTAAAAATGTCCAGAAAGTTTAGCAAGTAAGTACGGTAGATGGTGTTTCCCGAAGTAGCTCCCATTTTACCATACGATTCTTCGCCTATTTCTTTCATCATGGCTCTTCGTTAGCAAGTGCTTCAATGACCATCTCCAATTGCTGGGAAGAGCTTAAATGACTCTCTGCCATCCTGGGCTGCTGCGAGTCGCTGTCGTGACAAGCACCTGCTGGTTTTCGCTTCGCGCCTCAGGGTTTCGTCCGTATTCACATAGCAGCGTGAACCTTCCCAGTGTTCACCACGCCCACTGCCGTATATTCCCGTCATATATGCTTCATCTTCCAGGGGCGCAATACTTTCCGACATGTAACACTTGGAGGCCATTTTCATTCGAAACCGGCGACATTCAAGCCCTAGTTCTCTGTTTCTGCAGATTCAGAAATAGTGTTTGGATCCAGCCGTTCGCACCCCGCGAGTCCCTCCCGTGATGGTGAAACGCCCCTCCGATTCTCATGTATGCACGTGGTTCCGACGAAAGATGAAGCGATGATGACAAGAGGGGACCTCAGTTTACACGGTGTGCACGCGGAAGGTGAGCAGGCGCAAGATGTTGGCCTGAAGGTGTGAAAGTCGAAAATTGTCCTTTGGATCTTCGACGGAATGGTTCCTGTCACAAATAGCGCAGATTCCCCAAGTTTATGGCTTGACCAGACGAAAAGAAGTGACATGGTCGGGTTTCATCCTGTTTCTACGATGCCTTTTTAACTTTAAAGAATCCCGATCAAGAGGTTCATTACGGACAGGTAAGTCGTTGTGCATAAAGAAATTGCACACCCAGGAGATCCAAGGTCCGGATCAAAAATGGACTGCAAAGCCGACAGTTAAATCATCTTCCTTTCCTGACTGCTGAAACCCATGGACGGAGAGGAGACTCGGAAAAATGCATTTCATCGTTTGTTGATCGCTTCACTTTTCGCAGTCGTGAAGGTCGTTTGTGATAACTGGAGGCGAATGAAGATGGAGCATCTTCTCCCGAGGAAATGGAATTTCTGAATAATAGCAGTATTCGGCGAGGGGGTTGAAGAGAACACAGCAGAGAAAAAGCAGTGCTGAGGTCGATCGCGATCTCATACAGATATGTCGGCGAGATCGGTCGTTGTCGTGCCTTTTCGACCTTGCCCGCTGGAACACGGATCCACACACGTGTGGATCGGCCCACATTCATGCTTCGCATTTTCGCCTGCTAGTGCACAAGTCACTTGCATCTTCCGGTCAAGATTAACTCATATTGGGAT